AACGATGGTGGTTATTAACGAATATTAAAAACACGCAAAGGCAAAACAGGTGAAAACTTCTTCCCCAGAAAATGCTCACCTATTTTCGAACGCGCTACGGGTAATTAAAATTTTTCATATTAAAAATTAGGTGTTTATATGATTATGGATGGATGGACTATTTTCTAATCCTTAGGTAAAGGGAGTGGTTGCAACCCCTATCTTATACTTTTTAATAGTAGGTACAATTTATGTCGATTTTCTCGAAAAAAAAAACGTGATTATCTAATTCAGCCTTCTTAAAAAGATTAAGCTCGCTATAAGAACAGACCAGTGGCGTAACTTCATTTTAGAGGCCCGACTTCAAAAATATTTGGAGGCCCTTTCCTTATATTAGCAATTTTTAAACGATGTTAATCTGTGTATGTAGAAAACAGTGTCTTGATTTAGCTTTGCTGATTTTGCATTTAGTAATTCATTGGTTCACAGGTCCATTGTGCAACCGTCACTGCTTTCTGCGTTCAGTCAGGGTCCAGTTGATTTCGTTCGGACTTTAATTGTCAAGCTTTGTGTAATATTTGCGTTATAACAAAAGGTAATAATGTACATAATTTTAATTGTAACTCTTCGTTTTATTGTGACTTGTATTGACTTCAGCTATTTGTAATTAGGGGTAGGTAACCCTTGAATTTGTTTGATGTTTAATTGTTTCACTTTAAATGTTATCCTTATTTTGATTTGTTTAATATTGGCCAGTTACTTCGATATTTAAACTCGTTTGGTTAGTTTGATTAGCGACTTCAACTCTTTGTGTATGAATCTGCCTTTTTTACATGTATTTAACTTTTTCGTCCGTGCAGAGATAGGTAAATGCTGGAGTGTTAAAATTACTTAGCGGCATTCATCTCGAAACACAACTTCAGTCTAAGGTTACCGTATCTAGGACCTCCAGCTACCTTCTGTATTGGAGATGTTCCCGTATATCATTGACTTTATGTAAAAGTCTTCGGAATGTTATTTTTCACAAATGGGAAAAGAGTGGAGTTGCTTTTAAATCTATTTGAGTTGGCTACTTTTGATCATATCAAATTTTGTATTAGATTAAAGTCAGATTTAAATTATTCAAATTAAAGAATTACTTCCGCGGATTGTTAATTTTTGTATATTGCAGATATTGCTTCAGATTTTTTACCTATATTTAGGTACCCTCCGTGAACAATGATTCCGAATTTTCTTCAGACTGTAATTGTAAACTGTAAAAAAGCAGGTGCATGACCCTTCGTAAATAAAACTATAGCCAGCATTTGCATTACCCTTTTTTTACGTTTTATCTCTTCTGTAGTAACGGAAAATATGTAAATAATTAATAGAAGCATACCATTGAAGGAATTCGGGAAATTTTCAATTTTTTTCAGAATTTTGTATAAACGAATTATATTTTTATTTTTTTGTACATTTTTGCCGGGGCCCCTTTTAATTCGGGGCCTGTACTCATTGCGTATCTTTGAAAGGGCGGTATTCCGGTATACTATACGATAATGCTCGCACAGAGGTACAGTCCATTTAACAACCAATAAATTGGGTTTTAATTTAAAGTACTATAGGTACTGTCTCACGGCTATATGGACTTTGCGTTTTTGGGGCACTCACAAGTTCTTAGGAAGCAAGCGATTTACTTGTAATGGCGAAGTGAAGAATTTGCTGCAGAATTGGCTACGTCAGCATTTTTTCAGAGCTTACTTTTAGGGCTCAGTGTAACAACTGCTTCCCTCCGATTCGCTGATCCAAGGTATGAAGCACTAACAATCGGCGTCGCCGTTAGTGCTTCCAACGAGGGTAGCAAGCCAGCACTGTCCTAGGCAGTGTCGTTTTCCGAAAACGGCTGGTCGAGCTGATGCAAGATATGAAGCACTAAGAGGCTCTAAGCACTAACGAAGCATTGACGTTCGGTGCCGGTCCGTCGTTAGTGTCAGAAATGATCAGTGAATGCACATTCAAAGAGATAAGTACAAAACATTCCTCAAATGTGTAAAATTTATATTATTGTTTTAATTTTTTGTCAAATCTCGGAAGTATGTGGAATATGTGTTGATACCTTTTAAAATAAAGATGTGGTATTATAAGTGACACTGACAGGGACAACCGGACGTACGGGTAGACAAACTGTAGTCAGTATAATGTGAACTGTGGGTGGTTTCGTTTGCCATCATTTCTAATCGTGTTTGCAGTGTGTGTTGCCTAAAAATGGGATCAAATGGTTTGTAACTTCCCTAAATTGAACGACAACGATATTTTGCTTTTTTATGCGGTATCGTCACGCAATTTTCAAAGAGTAACAGTAAAAGATTTATTGTTCACCCTGACAAATCCCGTGGAGAAAAATCGAAAGGTCGATTCGTGAGCGAGCCATCTTGGGAACTAGAACATGTCCCGGAGTCATTCGAGGGCCCTTACGGCGTTTCGGGCGCACTTCGAAACATGCAGACAATCATGAAATTAGTTAAAAATGCGGAAATTACTTTAGGGGTATCACGATCGCGGCTTCTTGCTCCGGTCCCCCTCTCGAAAAAAGCGTACTACTATTTAAACTGACGGTTATAAGTACGTCACTGGCATATAATTCCACAATTTAAATATCTAAAGGAACGAGAGAAAGCGTGCGGGTGTGAGAATCAAAAAGGCGCCTCGTTCACAAGCTCGAGGCAACCGCAACTCGTCAGTTCTTCATTCATCCGATTTAAGTAAATGAATACTTTCGTTGCGTACGGAAATTTTCCGTTTTATTTGAAGGCAGCCAATGAAAAAAACGCCTACTTGTATAATGATTTATTGCTCACTAATAAAGCCAACGCCAGTATTTATACCGTCAATAAATTTATTGTTTATATATACGGGTTTGAATGAATCTCCACTTCCATATTTAACTTTTAAATTAAGATAATAAACCTTTGGCCGGTTTCGAAATTAAATCTAACTACACGTGCGTAAAAATTTATGTGGTCATTAAAATTAGTCACATTCTTTTTTTTGCCGTCGTAATTGCGTTACACGTAAACTAGCTCGTAATGATGCAGCTCTAAACAACATAAGTAGCAAAATTATACCGTGTGATCAAAGCAATTTCTGTTACACACGATCAAAAAACAAAAAAATCGGTAATAACTGAAATTAGCGGTGAAAGCCTCTTGTAGCTACTGAGAGCTTTTGCGTGCAGAAGGATGTTTTACAAAAATTGCCTCCGGGCAAATGTGTTCGCCTCGAATTTCCGTATATAAATATAAGTAATAATCTATTCCATGTATTTTTCATCATCAGTCACATCTATAAAGCAAATTTACAATTTAAAAAGCTCTAATACAAGAGGTAATAAATATATATTATAATTATATTAAAAAAATATTGCAAGGAACTTAAGCTAACTTAGACTACCATAGTTTTTTGCTTAACAAAAAATTACAGAGTTCTTCTCCTTAACTACGTGATCAAATAATCGATTTTATTTATCACAAGTTAATTAAAGCGTCGATTTATTTACATTTAGAATGTTTAGTCGAGCTTTTTTATTGCACTCGAACGTACTTACAGACTAGATGGTCAATGCTGGAAGAAGCGGAATAGATTTTAACACTTACAAGTAAGATTATAAGCCAACTAAATGTTAAATCTTCGACGTTTTCGCGGCATAAGAGACTATATACAATTACATTTATGCAATAACTATGGGTTTTAATATAAATAATTATAACTGTTATGAAGTGGAAGCTAATATCTTGTGAAGCAGTTGCATGTTGTCGTCGTCGAAGATGGGTAGTGAATAGTTCTGTAAAAAAACAAAAACATAAGCATTCCCCCTAGAGAGGAGGTGGGGAACAATTGAAAATGAAAAGCGTTAGCACCCAGAGAAGCTTAGTGCCCGTAGTGTGTTATTATTTGTTAAGTAAGTGTTAAGTATCTTACATTGCATAATAAAGAAGACAGGACCGGAGTGGCCCAATCGCCCGGGACCCCTTCACCGCCAAATGCACTGACTACATCTAAAATACCAAGTACACATTAGAGACATATTTACAACAAAAATATAAAATGATAATAGGATAATAAATTACAAAAGTTGTGATACAAATTATCCTACATGAATAGATGAGCGAAATTATGTGTGGTTGGTTCTTAAACAGGATTTATTATTTGCAATAAACTCAATTTGAGATGGTCTGTTGCCCTTCTATACCGTCTTTTTAAACGCGCCGTAGCAGCGTCACGTTTATTAATAAAAACCTCAACAAATCACTTTTATTTAAAGGCTAAATTTGTGCAAAACGACGTTAGATGGCTCCACCCACAGTAGATCAAACAAAAGCTTATTTTGGGAAAATATCGCTTTATTGTCTTGTTTGCTTACCAGTATTTTCCATAAACCAAGCTGTGGGCGGTGCCTAAACAGGTACAACACGATAGCCTTCGTGGCGAAAAAGGTTAAATGATAAGAATACATCATAATCCGCGTCTGGGTGACATTTCAAACGGCGTATGACCGATCTGCACTTAATTTTTGAGATGGGGTAACGCGCGCGAGCCATTGACACATACAAAAATTACAATAAAAAAGTTGAACAAAACTCAAGGTGGGGTCGTGCCAAGGTCTTAGAAACAAGTGCAACCTACACGAATTGGTTTTTTTTTACAAAATTTCGTATGTTCCCACGTTAATTAAAAAAAACTCTCCCCTGACGAACAAAGCGCGCACGAGGTTACTTATACTAAGTGAAATGAGCGTATACGCACCTGTGTTGCTTAAGATTATCTTGTCGTTTGAAACTTTTGCCGCAGACTTCGCAGCTGAAGGTGAGCTCGGGACTTTTGTGGGTCCTCTCGTGGATCATCAGATTGTACGGCTTCGTAAACCTGCGCTGGCAATATTTGCATATAAATTCACATTTAGCGCGCATTTTCCTGCGAAACTCGCGGCCACTAACGTCGTTGTCGATCTGCATAATCGCGAACATGTTGCCGGATTCTTATCTCCGCCACTGCTCTTACTCAGCTGACTCGATGAGTAAATTGTGGAACTATTGGTAAATTGGAATTTTGACGCGGCGCGATCGGATTTTAATCTGAAATGAGCGCGCTTTTAGGAATAGGTTTGCACTTAATCCGCGATGCGGGGTACTCACCGTCTATGATCTGCTGATGATAACCGGCGGATTTTCCTCGCTCTTTACTTCCTGCAATTGAGAAATTATTCATTAGTCGAGGTGCACGGAGGAACGTCATCGCGCAAGAAACGCGATTCCTTTTGTTTCAAATTTCTCGATTTAGTCGATGATCGCCGATTTTTCGCTCGACAGTCCTTGACTTTTCAATTTGTTATTAGTTTTAAAGCCGTTTGGAGCGCGCAATTATAATGCCGATAAATTTGTCCATCCCGCATGGTTAGTTTTTTAAGGGTTAACGACTTTTTGTTCCGACGGATCTGCACCAGCAGCAGCAGCAAAAGGGTGCGACTTTGCAAATCGGAAATGGGACGATTTACTGTACAAAAATTGCGCTCAGCCGCGGCTTTACTATAAGTGCATTGCAAATTTCGAAATTTTCAAGGTTGATGCATCCATAGGTAATTAAAAATGAGGAATGCACAGGAATTTTACATCTTGTTCTCCTACCAAATCTTATATACCTATAGTTCGTGTAAAAAAGGGGATACTTCGGTTAAACAATTTAATCCAAAAGATGCTGTCGAGTTCAAAATTCCAAAAAAGTGAAAACCTTCAGTAGAATGATTGAGCATAAAGGTACACTCATTTCGGAAATAGCGTCGCTTATCTGCAGATAATATTTACCTACATACCTACTCATCGACGGCAAATACCTGATGCATCAGGACAATTGGGATTTTGACGATTATGATATACTAACATTGATTCACTATCGGCCGGAAACAAGGTAGTGAGGTGCGCACGTTTGAGGAAATCTCCGAGATTCTGAAAAATGAAACTTCGAAATTTCCGCAAAGTTTCTGGATGCGGTAGCTATACCTACTATAAAGATCAAAGTACAATGGAACGATAATTTCGCCACATTTGCAACTCGGTCTGAGATGACGAATAACTCGACACTTTCTAAACGCGTTAATAACCAAATTTGTCTTAACCCAAATTGTGATGCAAATGCAAAAAAAAACCGCAAATCCGCGCGAAATTCGGAAGTGCGGCGTTGATTATGAAAATAAAAGGCGACTTACTCGTCGAAATTTTTTCGGAAGCACACCGCGAAGATGTGTTACAAAATTGATGATGATCAGCAGCACGGCAGCTTTAGACTGACAGTGAAAGGTCCTTTTCCCTTCCCATATCGTACGGGCCCGCTATATTTGCACGCAAACATCCGTACACCATACTTATTGCTCATTTTCATCACAATGAGATTCCGCGGCGCATCCCTCGGGGGGAGGTTGCGAAACGAATTTAAATATAATCGGAAGCCTCAATTTTCGATCCCACATCGAACGAAAAAAGTGATATTTATGAAGTTTAAGAATCTGGGAACGTCTTTCGTCGCGATGTAATGCAAAGGCACTCCTCGCTGAATGTCACTGATGTATACAATAACATATAGTTATGCTAATATAAACGGCGTAACGCCCCTCATTGTTGGGCCCATTTCGTATTCACCATTGTCTGGTGCGCCGTAAATGCCATCGCCGATCGCTATTATTACAAGAATTAATCGAAAAAATCGTCAGGGAAATAACGGTCGAGCGCTCTCCGTTAATTGTTAACGGCACAGATTCGTGAGAAAAATCGCGCACTCATTAGCGCGTCAAGAATTAAAAAAGGCACCGGTGGGCTGTGGCGCTAGAATAAATCGTCTGTCCAATAAAATTCATCACATTATCCCCTCTATACGTTTTATATCCAGTAGCTGCACTGCAGGGTGCTTTAAAAACCGGTAGCAATTTAGAGCGTCGTCGGAAGCAAATCAAACCGCTCTGGGTGTGGTTGCTACTCGTTAAAATCATTCAAAACCACTTTCGTCTAATTACCAACACCACTATTAGCATTACACCAATTTCGCTACCCACCTACGCGTTGTCGTCTTCTTCAAAGACGCATTCAATAATTTCCTCACGTCTTTACTCAAGTTACCGGATTCGACAAGCAGCTGATAACACTTGAAAAAGCACATAAATATGAAATATGGAATGAGCGTGACACGAATCAAGTTACCGCGTCGAAAACAAAAGTGTACGGGTACCCAAAAATTACGTAAGAACGAAAATTCTCCCCCCTTTTCCAAAACGCGCGCGACCGTCTAAACGCGGTAGCCGAAGTAGGCGTAGCACGGTAGCGCGCTCTTGGCCACACCGTAATTGATCGAATCACGCAGACTTTTTCCTGCGTTTCGCACATCGAGTGAAAATCGCAATAAATTATAGCACAGAAATAAAATTGGGAACTAACCTTGTGCGGCAGCTGAACAGATGACGTCGCCGGGACGAGAGAGCTTCGTGGTGATCGATCGAAAGACTTCTTTGGAAAAGTGCGTACCTCGAGGAGATGTAGTAGTACTTAAGTTTTGCTTCTGTACCAAACTAGTGATGGTAGCCCAATGGATCTCGGCAGTAGTGCCCTGCTCTTGGCTTCCACGGCCCCCCTCGCTCCCCTTAGTGAATCCTAAGTCCAACCTACCTGGTGCCCCCTTCTTAGGGAGCTCTAACATAGAGATTATTTTACAACGTACCCATGTAACAGAAGTCATCCAAGTGGCCTTTTGAAAATGGTCCGTATTAAAGGGGGTCATACGGTCTTCGCTTGATTAAGTTTTTAAATGCGTCGATTAGCAATTTTCGATGCCTCAATTATTAATTAATAACGAGCGCGCGCGGTCGTCTCTCCGAAATGCGAGAAAGGGAAAAGCTCGCGCATAAAATTAATTTTTATCGTACATCGGCAATTAATTTTCCGTTTTTTAACGAAATATTTCGGCTTCTTTATAAAGTCGAACCGCATCTTAGAAATTCTTGCAGGTGAGACAAAGCGTGAGTTAAAGCCGTAGATTAAAAGGTGTTAAGAATGAAAATCGCGTGTCTCGTTTCTCTGTCTCATTAGTGCACCCACGTTACACATTCGTTTATCTTTATTTAATGGTCGAGAAAGAATAGGTGCATCCTTACAACATCCGCGTCCTTCTTCAACGCGCGCGCTTCCGTTTATCTCCTTCTCTCTTTCGCACAGGTAAATGTTCAATGGCCATGCCCATGCGTAACTGATCGGCAAATGTTTCAATCGAACTTTCACGTAGACGGCTTGGAAATTTTTCATTTTTTTTATTTTCGATTTTTTCACTCCAACACACTCATTCAAAAAATTACCCAAGTAATATCTTAACGCCTATTTTACATAACAAAAATTCTTTTCTCACGCCCCAATTATAGCTCTTCTCGCACCATCTCGATATCACTAATAAACCCAGTCGATTAGGGAGAAATTAAATGACATGCATGCTGACGCCACTAAAAAAAATAGATAATTATTAATAATTTCACTCGCAGTTTTCAAATTTATAACTTCTGCTTTACAAATGGGCATTGGATTCTTAAAATGTTACCAAAAGAAACGAAATATTTGCTACAGACTAAATTTTTAAGTTGTCTCATTGAGTCGTGAATGAAAAGAGAGCTTTGGTTTCTTACCTTAATATTAAAAGAAACTATACCCATCAGGGTTAATTTTTTTAGACAGCCCAAAAGTGCACCCCCGTCGGTTCGTTTCTCAAGTTTGTGACAAACACCTGTCGTAGGTACCGCAAATTAGGTACGTACCTATAGTTTTTTATCTGTGCTCAATTGTGCTGAACCTTCCGCATGTTGTGCCCCCCTTAGAACATTGGGGGGCGGGGGGGGGGCTGGTTATACGTACGTCAATATTAAAAAGATATAGAATTTTAATTTAGGGTGGACAACTTAATAAAACAAAGCTTACATCATGAAATGTGCTCATTTTGTGTCTCAGTCAGCGGAGAATTTAAGCAGAATAGTCGACGGTGAGTTTTTCCCATTAGAATTTTTAATTTTCTGAGCTACTGTACAGCTTTTGCAATGGAAACCATACAAAGAAGTAGGCATAAGTGTAATACGCCTTTGAAATACAGCACGCACCTGGTAATCAGAACTATACTTAGGTATATGTTTTAGAAACAGAGCCAGAGCACAGATTAACTATACAAAATAATCTGTGGCCACAGTAATTGTACACAATTCGTCATAGTTTAAGCTGGTAATGGAATTATATGATTCGAGGGGTCTTAGGTGTTTCACCCTGTATATACCTACTCCTTAGTCCTTATATAGGTAAGTATCTATGGAATCGAAGAAAATTTGTTATGTTTGAGAATCTTTTTATATATTTAGTCGTCTGCATTGTACAATTGCATTAGAATTATAGGTAGGTACTTATACCTATACCTAGGTATACCTACATCAACACTGGATTTTTTTTTATCAGATACCTATATAACGTTATTTTTTTATTATTACGAAGCGAAAGCCTTTAGGTTAAAAAATTTATGAAATGACACTTTCTGTAATTTACCTACTTACTTATCTAGGTATACCAACCTCAATAATGAATTTGACAAATTTCTTGAATTAATTTTCTTGTAGGATCTTATGCCCGTAGGTAACCCCATGGCCCTAAACATTAAAAAAATATAAACAATACTTCCGAACTTCCAAAAACATAATACCTATTTAAAGAATAAACTTTTTTGGACGCCCCTTTCATAAAAATAATTGTATAGTGGTACCTACTTAGTAGTTGCAATATTTAGGTACTGATTAGGTAAGGGAGACCGGGGCTAGTTGTCACAGGGGCAAGTTATCACAATGCCGATTTCTCCCTTATTTGCGACAGCAACACGCTCCACCACCTACAGTCGAAAGGACTTGCGTATCTCCAATACCACACAAAATAATTCTGACATCGGCCGGTAATTATTAAGGATCCTCAGATCCTTTATAGTTTTGTATTGTCGTCCGTCCGTCCGTCCGTCCGTCCGTCCGTCCGTGTGCGCTCTAACTCTTTTTAAAAGTGGCCGATTGTGTTGAAATTTGGTATACGGGTACGTTGGACATTAAGAACGGACGCTATTGATTTTCAGGAAGCTGGTTCAACAGGAACAAAAGTTATACGACTTCGAGTGAATCGGGAACAGGAAAAACTGCGAACTCAATATAATAAAAATTAACATATTTCATTCCCTAGGTCATGTATCGAGTTCGGACTTTCGCTAGATTATTCCCTATGACTCTTAGATGTGTAACAATTCAATATAACTCTTCTCTGTGGTCTCGGTCAAAAGTTTTAGAGCAAAATGTACCCAAAATTATTCTTTACACATGAATTTAGAGTTGTAAAAGCTTTCAAACGCATTATCTTGATGCTGAAAGAGTTGATAACGTGCACGTTTGATAACCGCATGTGTGTGATTCAAAAATGTTAAATTATTTTTCTGAGGCCACATGGATTTTGATCAAAATATGTCAAAATCGTTAATTATGCACCAAGATCGTTGGGAAAAAGACTACGCGCATTATCTCAATGCCCAAGACATGAATTTGATGCATTTTTGGCGACCACGTGGATTTTGATCAAAACATGTCAAAATCGTTATTTATGCACCAAGAGCGTTGGGAAAAAGACTAAGCGCATTATCTCAATGCCCAAGACATGAATTTGATGAATTTTTGGCGAAAACGTGGATTTTGATCAAAACATGTCAAAATCGTTATTTATGCACCAAGATCGTTGGGAAAAAGATCAAGAGCATTATCTCAATGATCTAAACATGAATTTGATCTATTTTTATGGACCACATGGATTTTGATCAAAACATGTCAAAATCGTTATTTATGCACCAAGATCGTTGGGAAAAAAACCAAGAGCATTATCTCAAAGCCCAAGACATGAATTTGATGCAAATGTATTTTGTAAGATTAAAATAAATTGTCGTTAAAAGTGATTGTAATACTGAGGATCCTTCGATATTTCGTTGTATCGGTTTATTTCTTTTATGATCGTAAATGTATTTTGCCGTCTCTCGAGTACAATTTTTAATCGGTAATCACTAATCAGCTCGTGCTGATGGGTGTGTATGTGAAACCAAGGCAAGCCAAATATATTTTAACCTACCTACATATGTACCTAGGTATATTTTGATATATTTATTATTTAAATGTTTTTTTATTTAACATTAACTTTCGACCAGTCGAGTGGGGCAGATTGTCACAATCAAACGGGGCAAGTTGTCATACTAGTAAAATAATCTAAAAACGCTAAAAAAATCGGTCTTCTACCCAAAGGCTAAGAAAAAAGAAATTTCATCAGACGAGGAAGGCTGTATATGTCTTAATTGCGGAAAACTCTACACATCTTCAGTTGAACGCTGTATTAGATGTAGGTACAACTTGCATGAGCACATGAAAACTGTATTACTGATAGAAATCCGTTTTATGTATGTCACAATTGTGACTCAGAAGACGATATGTGGTACCTATACTTCTTCGTAACTGCAACTTCTTTTTCTGAATACAGCCCTTTGATTTCTTATTTTCTTTATTTTTGTGATCCTGTGACAATTTGCCCCAGGTAGGGGTTGCATTTCATATCATTGACGGTAATAATTTATAATTCTCTATCAGCTTCATCTATACTTGTAATTTTAGCATAACCTGATGAGGGCTATAACTCATAACCCGAAATCGATCGCTTTTTAGAAAATATAAAAACAGAATCGTGGTTCTTTTACTATTGAAAACTTCAAATCTTAGCAGAACCAGAAAATGGAGAACTTCATAACATATATAACGACTGAATCCAAAATTGTGACAACTAGCCCCGGTCTCCCTACCTATAATACCTGTTTTTCTAACTCGAATTTCTCACCTATAAGAAAATTGAATGTATATAGTCAAATATCTTGGCCTTCTTAAGCTGGGTTAATACAAGGAAAATCATATGCATCATAGTATGACTTAGCTTCGCCGGCTCTAAAATAACGTCTGAATTCTAAATTCTAAACAATTCCAACCCTTCTGACACAATTGGAGGAATAACAATGTCGCTTCAATGTTTTTCAACCTCAGTACTATGCGATCAAGAATGAGTTGCTGTCGAGTCACTTTTGGAATTTTAGTTTACATAGGAAATCATATTTAACTTGAACTTCCAAAGGCGACTCGACAGCAACTTATTTTTGATCACCCGTTATCTACCGAACCATCCCCCAAATGAGTAGGTACCTTGGATTGAAATCATAGTCTCTTCGGAAAACTTCTTTTGATAATAACAATGTTGATAATGAACACTAATGTTTTCGTATTATTTGAGCCTGGTTTTACGACGCCGACAGTATTACGTCATGTAGTTATAATTAGATAGTCCATTCAACTTCGTAACTTTACACGGAATTATGTTTTGAATTTTCCAACGGAGTTCAATCTTACGAAGCTCTGGATATAGGACACATAGGAAATTATTTTGTAAATTACAGTTGTAACTGGGAATTAGTTTATAATTTACAGTTGCAATTGGAAATTACACTAATTTACAGTTGTAACTGGGAATTAAACTAATTTACCTTTGTAACTGTCAAGGATAATTCCCAGTTACAACTGTAATTTACAAAATAATTTCCTATGTGTCCTATCCAGATGCTTCGTACAATCCCGTGTAAGTAGTTTATTGTGTAACAATCTAATTTTTTATTTACCTATAATTTTGAAAGGTTCCACCCGGTATATTGTGTAAAACTCATTTATATATTTATTTATTTATTTATTTATTTATTTATTTATTTTATATTTATTTATTTATTTATTTATTTATTTATTTATTTATTTATTTATTTATTTATTGCCCTACAGGCTTATCGGCCAATTACAGGACAAAGTAACTCATGCGGACGTTTTATTTGGTATCAGTGCCTAAAATATCGAT